ATCTTTTTTTTTCTGAGATGACGTCTCGCTCTGTCACCCAGGCTGGAGTGCAGTGGTGCCACTTCATCTCACTGCAGCCTCCGCCTCCTGGGTTCAAGAGATTCTCCTGCCTCAGCCTCCTGAGAAGCTAGGATTACAAGCGTATGCCACCACACTCAGCTAATTTTTTTGTAATTTTAGTAGACACGGCGTTTAGCCATGTTGGCCAGGCTGGTCTCGAACTCCTGACCTCATGATCCACCCGCTTCGGCTTTCCAAAGTGCTGGGATTACAGGCGTGAGCCACCGCACCCAGCTGATGTTCCAAAGCCCTGAGACGATGGTCTGTTAGGAGGCCCCTCAGCACATGCTAGTTACAAGCTGGGTGTGTGTGCACGTGTGTGTCATGTGTTGTGACCATGTGTGTGCACATGTGGGTGTGTGTCGCCATCCGGGCACCCACAGGGGAAAAGCTCATGCCTCGTGGCCCCAACTGCTCTGATGCTGAGATGGGACATGTGGCCGCCCTCGCTGCCGGGTGTTAGGCTCTCTGTGGGCCGCGCCCCTCTGAGCCCATGCGGGCGGATGTGTCTGTCTGTCTGTGTCTATGCCTGTCTGTCTTCGTGTGTCCCAGTAGTCAGATTTTTCAGGTCCGTGAGAGGAAAGCACACATCAGGATTTCTCAAACCCAAGCAAGCCTCAGGTGCACAGCTGAGCTTCACCGATGCCAAGGGACGGAGTGATCAGCTCCGCAGCCAGGAGCTGAAGCGCGGGGCCTCTCTCAGCCCCACCTCCCCCTGCTCTCCTGCGGTACCCTCCACTCGAGCTCATGCGGCTGTCCCAGCCTAGGCTCCCTCCTCCTCCTGCCCAGATCGCCCCTCAGGCCACACCCCACCCACTCCCTGTGCCAGTGGACCCAGTGGGGCTGAAGCTGGGCACAGAACATGAGCCACTGAAAGAGCCCACCCCAGCATGAGCCCAGGGCCCCAGCTTCAGAGCTGGGACTCCTCCTTACCAGTCTGAAGCAAACCAGCATCGCTGTCACTGATGTGGAAAAACGTCTGTACGTCCAGCAGCACTCCTGCAGACAGAGGGACAGTGCTCGCAAAACGGGAAGTTGCCCTCCTGGCGTCGAAAGGGGCACAGGGCATGGCACCCAGCCTAGTGTCCTGTCCCTGTCTCCCACACATGTATAACCACATGCACACAAGAGCAGGCACACAGAGAAGTGTGTGCATATCAAACACTCAAAGCAACAAGCATCCCGAAGGCACAGATGTTCACACACACACGTTTACACACATGCCTGCAGCCACGTGGCTCCTTCCCTGCTTCATGTGCGAACACAGACCCAAGTCATGGCTCACACCTGCAATCCCAGCACTTTGGGAGGCTGAGGTGGGCAGACCACAAAGTCAGGAGATCAAGACCAGCCTGGCTAACACAGAGAAACCCCGTCTCAACAAAAAAAATACAGAAATTAGCTGGGCGTGGTGGCTTGCACCTGTAGTCCCAGCTACTCAGGAAGCTGAGACGGGAGAATCACTTGAACCCGGGAGACAGCGGTTGCAGTGAGCTGAGATTGCACCACTGCACTCTAGCCTGGGCCACAGAGCGAGCCTCTGTCTCAAAAAAGAAAAAAAAAATTAGCTGGGCGTGGTGGCGGGTGCCTGTAATTCCACCTACTCAGGAGCCTGAAGCAGAAGAACCGTTGAACCCAGGAGGTGGAGGTGGCGGCAAGCCGAGATCGCACCCATTGCACTCCAGCCTGAGCAACAAGAGCAAAACTCGCTCTCAGAAACAAAGCAAAACAAAACAGAAAACCAAGGCGTTGCCAGAGGAACACACCTGCAGAAGCACAAACATACACACACGCAGGAACTCACACTCACAGACATGTACACCCAGCCTCATACACCCAGACACACATACACAAGTGCAGTGAGATGAACCTGTAAAGACACGCCCAGAGTTCTGCCAGCCTGTGCACAGGCTCAGGGCTGCCACCCACGGTGCAGTTGGAGGGGCTGGCGGCTCTCTTGCTTCGAGGTGCACAGCCCTTCACTTAGGCCGCTGTGTAAACAGAAGCCCCTGGAGGTGTGTGACACGGCGGCCTTGCCCATGCACAATCACCAGGTATGCACAGATGAACAGATATGTACAAAGACACAAGTGTCCTGGCTTGCACGCACACGTACACGCACAAGCATGTTCTTCCCTAGGCGCAGCAGTGGGTACCCCGGCTAATGCACAGAGACAAAGCGGGTCTCCCAGACACTAGGGTCTGTTTCCTGGTAGCCTCTTGGTGGTATCTCAGAAGGCTCTGAGTCTGCAGTACCCGCTCACATGAGCCAGGCAGCTCTGGCCCTTCATTATCATGAAGAAGAATGATCATCACATTTATGATCGGAAGATGACCGAGACCCAGGCCCTGAGCTGTACACACGACACTGTCATCCTAAAAGGTGGGGACTCTCACTGCTCCCATTCTACAGACAAAGAAACAGAGGCTCTAGGTGCCCAAGCTTAACCATGTGAAGCTGGAAGAGCTGAGACTCAAATCTCAGCCACAGACATCCTGTCCACACACCCAGAACCACAGAAGGGGAACAGAAGCCCCCACGTGGGTCCCCACAGAAACACCCACCCCAAGAAAGCCCTGCATGCACACCTCCAAGACCTGCCCCATGTGCATAAAGATCAAGGAATCGGGCCAGGTGTGGTGGTTCACACCTGTAATCCCAGCACTTTGGGAGGCTGAAGCAGGCGGATCGCAAGGTCAGGAGATCCAGACCAGCCTGGCTAAACCTTGTCTCTACTAAAAATACAAAAAATTAGGCAGGAGTGGTGGGACCTGCCTATAATCCCAGCTACTCGGGAGGCTGAGGCAGGAGAATCACTTGAACCCAGGAGGTGGAGGTGGCAGTGAGCCGACATTACGCCACTGCACTCCAGCCTGGGTGACAGAGTGAGACTCCATCTCAAAAAAAAAAAAAATCAAAGAAACAGAGAAGCAACGTAAGAAATCTTTGTTTAGACATTTAATTTGTCCCCAGTTGCCACCAAAACCTGGCATACAAACCAGTGTGTCTTTTTCCCCCTTTTAATATTTTATTTCTTGTTGTTTGTTTTGTTTTGTTTTTGAGATGGAGTCTCATTCTTTCATCCAGGCTGGAGTGCAGTGGTGCAATCTTGACTCATTGCGACCTCCGCCTCTTGGGTTCAGGCTATTCTTCTGCCTCAGCCTCCCAAGTAGCTGGGATTACAGGCACATGCCATCATGCTTAGCTAATTTTTGTATTTTTAGTAGAGACTGGGTTTCACCCTGTTGGCCAGGCTGGTCGCGAACTCCTGACCTCAGGTGATCCACCTGTCTTGGCCTCCCAAAGTGCTGGGATTACAGGCACGAGCCACCGCGCCCGGCCTGTCGCTGTTTTTTTGAGACGGAGTCTCACTATGTCACCCAGGCTGGAGTGCAGTGGTGTTATCTCAGCTCATTGCAACCTCCACCTCCCAGGTTCAAGCAATTCTCCTGCCTCAGCCTCCCAAGTGGCTAGGATTACAGGCATGCACCACCATGCCTGGCTTATTTTTTTGTAATTTTAGTAGAGACGGAGTTTCACTGTGCTGGCCAGGCTGGTCTTGAACTCCTGGATCACCCCACAGTGATCCACATGACTTGGCCTCTCAAAGTCCCTCTTTTATTATTTTAAATACACAAAGAAGACAGTCAGTCATTGGAAAGATAAAAAATACACAACACAGGTAAGCAAAATAAATAGCTAAATGCAAATGCTCTAAATTGTGCCCATCTTCCATTTTTAGGAATTAGGACTCATCCCTTTGTTTTGTCACCTCCTGGGCTCCCCCCAGCTCCGTGGCACTCTGGGGATGACCCGGGGCCAAGCATGCACCCAGCCTTGCTGTTACCTGTAGCCCACCACCCTGGCCCCAAAAGAACCATTTCCTGCAAGAACATTCCAGACACTCAGCACGATTTCACTTCTCCAGGCCTCTCTTGCCCCAGTAACCACAGCCCCCTTTCTTACACATCCAGAGGAAGTGCTAACGGGTAAGCGACCTAGGTAGGCAAGACTCAGGGTCTTAGGGCCCAGCCAGGGGCCCCCAGGGTCAGCAGCAGAGATAGCAGGTACCCAGGCTCCTGGGTTCAGGGCGCTCTGCACTGGCGATTCGCGGCTCCCATCTGCCTCTTGCTCATTCCCTCCTTTGCTCGCCCTCAGCCCACACTCCAAATCAGGCCTCCTCAGCTTTGGCCTCATCCACAGCAGCAGCCTCTGAACTGCCTCCCTGGCTCTTCTTGCCTCCATCAGGGCTTCAAATCCAATTATACGGCTCCCCATTGCCCAAGGCAGAAAACCCAAGCTCCCAGCCTGGCACCCAAGAAGCTTGTGATCTCACCCCATACATTCACATCTGGAGGCACACAAACCCCTTTGGGGTTTTTGCTGTTGTTTATTGTGTTTTGTTTTGCTTTGTTTTGCTTTTTGTCTTTAGGGGATTTTTTTGAGATAGGATCTTGTTCTGTCACTCAGACTAGGGTGCACTTGTACCATCATGGCTGAAGCAATCCTCCTGCCTCAGCCTCCCAAGTAGCTAGGACATCAGGCTTGCATCACCATCCCTGGCTAATTTTTAACATTTTTTGTAGAGACAAGGTTTTCCTCTGTTTCCCAGGTTGGTCTTGAACCCCTGACCTCAAGTGAGGAGGAGGAATTCCTGACCTCTGAGCTCCTCAAAGACGACAACCAGGTCTAGGCGTGATTCTGCAGCCCCTAAAGTTTCAGGATTCCATAGCCACTCTCTGGCGTGCTGAGCTGGTAACTGACAGGCAGCTGCAGCCACCCTCCTGAGCTCCCAGCCTGGCCTGTGCCTGCCCCGCATCTGGCCGCACCTCTCTGCCTCAAAGGACTGCCATCAACCAGCCTCTATTTCTGCCCCATGAGATGGTCGTTCCTGAGTTCAGGAACTACAAGTCTGATTTCCACCCTGGGTCCCCAGCAGCCACCAGGGGGTCCTGCCTACAGTTGGTCTTGAATGAATGAGTGAATGAATGAATGACAAGGAGAGAACAAGTGAAGTCACAATCAGTATTTTCTTTTTAAGATAGTCTCACTCTGTCGCCCAGGCTGGAGTGCAGTGATGTGATCTCAGCTCACTGCAACCTCTGCCTCCCAGGTTCAAGCAATTCTCCTGCCTCAGCCTCCCTAGTATCTGGGATTACAGGTGCATGCCACCACGCCTGCCTAATTTTTGTATTTTTAGTAAAGACAGGGTTTCACCATGTTGGCCAGGCTGGTC